CCACATCCATCCCCGTTCCCATCCCATCTCCAACCCCACCCCACCGCAGCCCATCCCCGATACTCACCACCTCGTCCTCCAGCTCGTGGCTGACCTGATGGACCTCCTTGGAGGCCAGCAGGATCCTGCGCCGCTCCTTGAGGGGCTCGATGAGGCGCACGATGCGCGTCCCCACCGCGCTCTGCCGCTCGCCCACCTCCTCGCGCCCGGCCGCCTGCGCCGGCAGCGCCGCCGCCTGCGCCTGCAGCTCGCCCACCTCCCGGCACCACTCCTCCACCTGCGACTCCATGCTCTGCGGACACGGCGGGACGTGGGCTCGGAGGAGGTCCCGAGGGCACCTCCAGATCCCAGCGAGGAGCGTGCCACCAAGGAACCTCGTGGGCCCATCGTGTGGTGTCCCCATAATTTGGTGTCCACCATCAGCTGGTGTCACCCCCCATAATTTGGTGTCCACCATAAGCTGGTGTCACCCCACGTAATTTGGTGTCCACCATAAGTGGTGCCACCCCCCATAATTTGGTGTCCACCATAACCTGGTGTCACCCCCCATAATTTGGTGTCCACCATAACCTGGTGTCACCCCCCATAATTTGGTGTCCACCATCAGCTGGTGTCACCCCACATAATTTGGTGTCCACCATAACCTGGTGTCACCCCCCATAATTTGGTGTCCACCATCAGCTGGTGCCACCCCCCATAATTTGGTGTCCACCATCAGCTGGTGCCACTCTCCATAATTTGGTGTCCACCATAAGCTGGTGTCACCCCCCATAATTTGGTGTCCACCATCAGCTGGTGCCACTCTCCATAATTTGGTGTCCACCATAATCTGGTGCCACCCCCCATAATTTGGTGTCCACCATCAGCTGGTGCCACTCTCCATAATTTGGTGTCCACCATAATCTGGTGTCACCCCCCATAATTTGGTGTCCACCATCAGCTGGTGTCACCCCACATAATTTGGTGTCCACCATAACCTGGTGTCACCCTCCATAATTTGGTGTCCACCAT